TAGTATTACCTGTCCTCAGTGGTATTACCTGTCCTCAGTCGTATTGCCTGTCTTCAGTAGTATTACCTGTCCTCAGTAGTATTACCTGTCCTCAGTCGTATTGCCTGTCTTCAGTAGTATTACCTGTCCTCAGTAGTATTACCTGTTCTCAATAGTATTACCTGTCTTCAGTAGTATTACCCGTCCTCATTAGTATTACCTGTCCTCAGTCGTATTGCCTGTCTTCAGTAGTATTACCTGTCCTCAGTAGTATTACCTGTCTTCAGTAGTATTACCCGTCCTCATTAGTATTACCTGTCCTCAGTCGTATTGCCTGTCTTCAGTAGTATTACCTGTCCTCAGTGGTATTACCTGTCCTCTGTATTATTACCTGTCCTCAGTAGTATTACCTGTCCTCTTTAGTATTACCTGTCCTCAGTAGTATTACCTGTCTTCAGTAGTATTACCCGTCCTCATTAGTATTACCTGTCCTCAGTCGTATTGCCTGTCTTCAGTAGTATTACCTGTCCTCAGTGGTATTACCTGTCCTCTGTATTATTACCTGTCCTCTTTAGTATTACCTGTCCTCAGTAGTATTACCTGTCTTCAGTGAATATATTACCCTATTGATTCATTTCCATGTGGGTAGACTGGTGGTCCTAAAGTCTTGGTGTCAGTCTGATTTCAAGGTACCCCTCTTACTCTTCAGGAAGGTGTTCACTCTGTCCAGGTGAGGTGCCAGTGGGTGGGGCCTAACCCTCTCAACCACCTTCTAATTRGTGGTTGGTAATGATTGCGACTGGTGGTCTGCTGAGGATCAACGCACGGCGACAGGACTCTCTGAGGGCCAAACCGCAGAAAGCACATCCACCAAAGAAAAAGAGGAAGAACAAAAGGTAACATACACTCAGAGCCCACTTGTTGTCACAGGTTACACTTCCTGAAGAGATGACATCACTTCCTGTCCTCTCCCAGGAGCAGCGAGGTGGTGGTGGTGAAGGGGAAGTTGAAGCTCTGCTCCCTCTCAGGTCTTGTGGCAGTGCTTGGGATCCTGGTCCTTGTGGTGGGCGGTTTTCTGGCAGCTCTGGGTTAYTGGCCTCGGGACGGACTGTTCTTCAGTGCTCAGCCACAGGAGGGTTCTGCTATGGCCTCAGTGTCCTCCAGCAGCACAACACCTGCATTATCTTCTGTCCAGGTGAGAACTTATCCGAGCAGAACCCAGTGAAGCCTGGACACAACACAAGTCTCTCAGGACCAGTTTAGCAGCACTGATACTGCTGCTGTTCTGTTTAATGTTTATCTGTCTGGTTCAGGAGGAAATGTGGGAGGAGGAACCGGAAGGAGACACAGATGAAAGAGGAGGAGAATATAACATCTCTAACCAAACAGAAACCACCAACAAGACCACTCCACAGCTCCCACAAGGCTTCTTTGAGTATTTCCTGGACAGGTATAAAAACAACACCCATCAGCCTGAGACCAGCAGAATATGGTTCTGCAGGAAGTTCTCCTCTAGGAGAGTTGTCTTATCTTGTGCTGCTCAACTGAGTAGTCTTTGAATCCAGTAGTGCTTACTTAGCACTATTGCCTCACAGCAGGAAGGTCCTGGTTTCAGTCCCCATCTGGGTCTGGGGTCTTCCTGTGTGGAGTTTGCATGTTCTCCTCATGTTTGTGTGGGTTTTCACCAGGTACCACGGTTTTCAACAACATGCATGTTAGCTGCCTTCAGGCCCAGGCTGACCTTTGTAAAGACATTTGTGGTCTTAATGGGATTTGCCCAAATAAGGGTTAATAATAATAATTATATATATATACAGCGGGTAAAATAGTATTGAACACGTCAACATTTTTCTCAGTAAATATGTATATATA